ATCAACATCATCATCAGCATCAGCATCAGCATTAGCATCACCATCATCAGCATCAGCATCATCATCAGCATCAGCATCAGCATCATCATCATCAGCAGCAGCATCATCATCGTCATCGTCATCGTCATCGTGATCGTCATCATCATCATCATCATCATCATCATCATCATCATCATCATCATCATCATCAGCATCAACATTATTATCAACATCCGCCCTTCCTGTCCCTTCCTCCTCCTCCTCCCCCTCCCCCTCTCCTTCCTCGTCCTCTTCCTCGTCCTCCTCCTCCTATTCATCCTCCGATTCCTCCTCCATCCTCCTCCTCCTCTTTGGGTACGACGTCGTACCAAACCTTTTATTCCACTGCGTCGTCCGATGTATCCCTGGTCTAGGCAACTCGGCTGGGCCTCGTTTCTGGATGAGCTGAAGGTTGACGCGAAACGTCTAGAATTTGGTTACACCAACCTCATCCAGGGTGTCGGGTTCTTCCCTTTGGGCTTCCTCATTGTGCTTGTCAAGACTGGCGCGAGTGGACCCCGCGACAGTCAAGCGTCCGCAGAACATCCTTATCCCGTCCCCTTCGTCGCCGGGGTCGGGAACAGATCCATCCATCGTCTCCAGCTTCGAATTCCACGTTTCGTTCGCCTTGCGAGTCCCATAGATGACCTGGGTCAATGCGTCGAGCAGCCGCTCATACCATTCACCGAACTGCGTCCTGTCACCGCTGCAGCGTTTCAAGGATTGGATTGCTGTGGGTTGCTTTGGATTGCTTTTTCCCAGACCCGATGGACCCTCGATCTCACCATGGCTGTTTGAGTCTCGTGTCTGCTTTCGGTTGATGATGCTAGACTTACCCAACATGTCATCATTGACAGCGCATGCTCGGCGGACAATTCCTGGTTGCCTGTGCGTCCTTGCTCACCCAGGTATTTCGACATCGCACCGTGCTTAGCCTGCGATGCAGCTTTGACGAACTCATAGTCAGCTTGCTGGGTGGCTGTCAGACAATTGACCCCGAAGTTGGTTAGGTTGTACTCAATCCGCTCCTGTCTTGTCATGGGTACACCAGCGCCTAGCGCCTGGTCTCGCCGCCAAAAACTCGCTCCGCTACCATGAAAATCTGCCAGAACGATGGTAACGAGGATGGAGCTCTGCTTTCCAATGAGCGGACAAATTGTCAAGTACACACCCGTGTCACACCGCCAGATGGCGGTTACAATGCTTGAGCCAAGCGCCGGTAGCTGCACAGTAGCAGAAGGACTGATATCGAAACACCTGCTCGTCCTCCGCCTCCTCTTCCTTTTCCTCCCCCTCCCTCCTAGTAATCCAACTATGCTTTCTGCGACTGGAGCTTGCCCGAGCCTGGGACCCTCACCTGGGACTTCCTGGTGCTCCTTATCGCTCCCCTAGCGGACAGAGGTTTCCAAGAACCGTACTGGTCTGCGCCCGATGCAAAGTATGTCCAATACTAAGATGGCATCACACACAGTGAAAAGTAGAATGCGACGCAAGATCACTTATCACGGTCAGCATACTCTGGCAGCGGGATGAGAGAAACAAGCCTTCGGCGACGACAGCGGACGTCGATTGTGACTGAATGTCAAACGCTCCACGAGCAAAGTTTCAGCGAAACGGTCGTGAGGCCAGGATGTCCACACAACGCCATCCTCAGACGCGCAGATCACGGTGAGGCGGAGAGGGCGAGGAGCTGGACGACCCGCCCCTTGCCGTGGGTGAGCTACCACGAGAAGCGACGGCAACAACCGGCCCAGCCCGCATGGTAGCGCGGGGCGGCGACGAACCAGGCACAAGCGCCCGGCGCAGAGCAGCCCACCCAGGCGACCCATCTACGGCAGGTGCGTGCCCTGAAATGTCCTGACCACATCGGTGTTGGCTCCTGACCCCGCGCAAGTCGTTCAGCCTTGAACGATCGGCGACGCGGTCGCCAAGTCGTTCCATATTGGCCGCTTCTTGGCCGCTGGCGGCGCTCAACCGTGATAACCCGCGGCGGAGCCGCCGCCGCGTCGACACGACGCGAACCTGCCGTAGGCGAGGGCATACAGGCTATCCAAGCGAGCCACGCGTGCGGCGCACAGTGGCCATCAGCCGGGCACCCGGCAGCTTCTGCACCGTAGCCGCGGCGCAGTCGGGTCAGTCGGCCTTGCGCGCAGCTGGGGGCTGGCGCTGCGTTCCCGACCGAACGCGGTACGCTCGACGAGAGGACGGCCGATCTGGCGGGGACATGCCACTGGGAGGAAGAGGTGGCGCAGAGGGAAGGGGGGTACACAAGAGGGAGAGCGGAGAGCGGGGAGGGAGAGAGAAGAGGCACCAGGGGGGAGAAGGAAGAGGGGAGACAAGAAGAGTGGGGAGGGAGTGGTGGTGGAGGAGGAGGAGGAGGAGGACCCGAGTAAACCCAGAATGCGTGAAAGATACTGCAAGACACCCTCCCACTCGAAGCCCCTACTGTTCATCGAGGGAAGCGACCCCCTCAAAACACGGGTGCCCCATAGGCCTGCCGGTCAGGCGAGAGCGCGTGTTCTGGAAAGGAGCTACCATCCGTCCTTCCAGCTGTAAGAGACGCAAGAGCGCAAGGCAGTAGGATCACACAACTCGCAAAGGCGTGCCCAGAGAGACCCCGTGTTGGAAAGGAACCGCTCTCCACCAGTGCAAACAACTAGCGCACAGTGTTCAGTCTCTGGTCGTACAGTCGTCGCACTTCCAAAAGGAACACGCCGGATCAGGAACCACGGGGCTTTTCTGGCAACGGTTAGCCTCAGCGACGAGTCGGCTGACCGACGTTGATCGAAGGACCTGCAGCTCGTCCCGAAACCAGAATGGCCCGTCAGACGGTGTATTGCTTGTACTATACTCGGACATCTAACTCGGGAACCCCGTTTGGAGAAGAACCCCTCCCTCCATCCCTGTGGCCGGCTCCAAAAACCCTGGATCCAAAAATGCTGGCATCTCTTGGGTGGGCATCTTTTACTGCCGTCGGCTTCCGCCGGCCTTCCGCAGGCTTCCGCCAGGGAGCCGCCCTCGTTTTGATTATGCCGCCCTTCCGCCGCCTGCCGCCGAGAAAGAAACACCAGTTCCGGATTCCTCGAAGGCGAGGCCCATTCTGGAACGCCCCAGGTAGCTGCTGCAACCTGATATGTCGCGGACACTGGTCTTTGAGCATGGGCGGGCATCGGCCGTGACAGAAACTGGGGAGGGGTGGACACAAGAAGGAGGCGTTGGTCCCGTGCTGGCCGCCTCCCACTTAAGCCACGCGGGGGCCGTCAGAGAGAGGTGTAGGACATGGGGACGCGGAAGCGGGCAGCGGAGGAGGTACGAGAGAGCCAAGAAGCGAGGGGATTGACGAGGGGAGGAGTAGGAGTGGGAGGGACGAGGCGGAACGAAGACTGGAGTAGGCGGCGCGACCGAGGGGGGGAAGCGAGGGGGGGCACTTCTCAGATGGCGGCGGGGCGCCACAGAAGCCCTCGCGCCTTCTAAGGATCCGCCTGCGTCGTCAGAAAGGCGTAGAAAGCTTCCCCGAAGACCAGAGGACATCTGTCTCTTCTAAGAAGGCCCGCCTCCTCTGCCTTCCCCCCTGGGCGCACCCTCGAGGGAGGGACATGAGGAGTAATGGACGATGGACGCATGGCTCGTCGTCTTGCTGCTGATCCTCCTCAAGAAACCCGATCAACCCAGGACACCGCCGCGCCAAGATGCTCCCTGGTTCCAGGAGAAGGAAAACGGCCCTGAGCTGTGCAGGACGCGGAAGGTATGGATCAGAGCAGCTCGAACAGTCTACTGAGGCCCCCGCCACGGCGATGACCGCATTCGTGGGCTCCTGGATATGCCTTCGTGGAGCGACATGCTGCAGAGTGCCTGGTGAAGGCACCCCTCCTCCTCCTCCGCGCTCTCTCCTCCTCCTCCTCCTCCTCCTCCTCCTCCTCCTCCTCCTCCTCCTCCTCCTCCAGCTGCTCCTCCTCATCCTCATCCTCCTCTTCAAGCTGCTCCTCCTCCTCCTCCTCCTCCTCCTCCTCCTCATCCTCCTCCTCTTCTCCCTCCGTCATCATCGTATACATTACCGTAATGATCACCACAACCATCGTCATCAGATTCGCAGTTTCCCCGTCGGCGTCATCGTCACTGTGATCATCGGCATCGCCATCATCGTCGTGGACGTTCTCGTCATCGTCATCGTCACCGCCATCGTCGGCATCATCATCATCATCATCATCATCATCATCATCATCATCATCATCAGCAGCAGCAGCAGCAGCAGCAGCACCAGCAGCAGCATCATCATCAGCATCATCGACGCCATCATCAGCATCATCATCATCATCATCATCATCATCATCATCAGCAGCATCAGCATCATCATCATCATCATCATCATCAGCATCAGCATCAGCATCATCATCATCAGCATCATCAGCAGCATCAGCATCAGCAGCATTATAATCAGCATCATCATCAGGAGCATCCGCATACTCGTCATAATCGTCATCAGCAGCATTATCAGCAGCAGCATCACCATCATCACCTTGATCGTCATCAGCGTCATCAGCATTGTCGCCATCTCCATCACCAGCATCAGTATCATCATCAGCAACACCATCATCATCATCATCATCATCATCATCATCATCATCATCAGCAGCATCGGCAGCATTGGCATCATAGTCAGCACAGTAATCATCAACTCGATCACCATCATCAACAACACTATCACCATCGGCATCATTAACATCATCGCCAGCGACAACAACATCTGCATCAGCGTCCGCGTCGGTATCATCATCATCGCCACCGTCAGCATCATCATAATCATCAGCAGCATCACCAGCATCAACATCAACATCATCATCATCATCATCATCATCATCATCATCATCATCATCATCATCATCATCATCATCATCATCATCATCATCATCATCATCATCATCATCATATTTGTGCTTGCACGGTTTTCATCTGCGCAATCCGCCGCCATTCGGGGGCTCAAGGCGCAAGGGCCGGCCGCGTGGCCGGATGGTTCCGTCGTGGCTGGGGCGCGTCGTGGAGGTGGCCGGCGCTGGGGTGGTCAGCTACCTGTCGCGCTGCCCGCCTTGCCCCGCGCTCCCTGCCCCGGCGAGCTGCAACGTGAGCCTTGTGTGCCCGAGTATCCCACCTTGCCCGGCCCTGCCCAACGTGTTGGGCGGGCCGCAGTGGGCCCAGGCGCCGCCGCCGGGGCCGACGTGCGGGGCCTGCCCCCCGCCACCGACCTGCCCGGGGGAGCAGGTGTGCCGCTGCTGGACGCTCAGCTTCTCTCTGTTCCTCGTGGGGGTGCTCGTGGGGGCGCTGGTCACGAGCGGGCTGGGGAGCTGCCGTCGCTCGACATCGACGACATCACGTGCTACGCCTGTCCGTGCGTTGACTGCGGGAGCCGGCCAGGATGGCGACCACCCAGTGGGTATACGTTTGGTACGCAGGCGAGAACAAGTGGCACCAGCACCTTAATCTAGGCAGGATCGCGCTGAGTCGGAGCGATCACGTGATCTACACGGCCGACGGGGACATGTACATCATCCAGGTGCAGGACAACCCGGACATCCAGGCGACGAGGTTCGGCACCTACGGCACGCCCCCCGTCGGCCTGCGGCGGGCCGACATCTACGGCTTCAGGCAGGAGCCCACTCAGGCCGAGGTCCGCCAGCTGGTGGTCGAGGCCGAGGAGGTGGCGGGTCAGGAGTGCCGGCGCCGGGCCGAGCTCATCGGGGACTTGCAGGTGCTGCGCGGGCTGAAGGTGCTGGTCCCCCCTGGCGGCGCCGCCGCTGCGGGCCCGGCGGCGCCGCCGCCTGGCCCCGCCGTAGGGCTGCTGCGTGGCCGCGCCGCTGCCGCCGGGGGTGCGCCTCGGACGGGCGGGGTGGCCGACGTGGCCGACGGCGTGTGGCGTGTGGCCGCATGCGTTGGCGACTTCAGGGTGGGCGACGAGATCGTGGAGCACGTGCCGACGCCCTCTCGCGTCGGTGATCGGGACCTGCACCTGCTGCCGTCGGGCGAGGCCCTCTTCGTGGAGTTCGTCACCTCGGCGGCTCTGCCGGGGTTCTTGCAGCGTGCCGTGGGGGCCGACGCGAGGATCCTGCCGGTGACTCGCAACAAGCGGGGGAAACGGGAGCTCACCTGGTCGGCGACCGGTCAAGCTCACCAATCGGGAGGAGTTCGACGCCTCCGACTGGGGGCTTCCTGGCCCCCGCACCGCCGACTGGTGTATGGACTACATCTTGAACGAGGGCCTCGGGATCGAGGGCCACCACGAGCACTTCCGCTCGATCTGCAAGCTGGCGGCCTCGGACTGGGGCGTGCAGGAGCACTACCAGCTCAGCCTGCAGCTCAAGCAGCCCCTCTGCATCGACATGCTGGATGACTCGAACTTGGTCTCGGTGGAGACGAAGTTCAGGAGGATGCAGACGATCGAGTTCGCCCACTGGGACAAGGCGAAGGATCAGGAGAGCAAGGGGATTGGCGGCAAGCTGTCTTTGGAGGAGCAGGCCGCGTTCTCGGGCGTCACCCGCGCCCACACCGCCATCATGATCTGCCCGGACCTCATCGAGCACGTCCGGGCGGAACTCGAGCGGGAGGGGAAGCTGAACAAGAACCTGCGCCTGGCACGCGAGGAACGCGAGTCCAGGCGCAAACATGGGTAGGCAAGGCACGGCCGCTGGGGGCAGCAGGGACCCAGTTGGCCGAACTCCATCCTGCAGTGGTCCGAGCCGCACGTCGGGCCCAAGCGCCGCCACACCGGGTCGTCGCGTACCTCGAGGTGTTTTTCCTCTACCTTACCCTTATGACCTCCAGCGTCAGCGGGGAGAGGCTTTTCGAGGGTTTAGCCGCGTCGTTCAGCAACGACACCTTCGGCGAAGCAGTTTTGAGAGGGATGTGACCCGGGCCGTGGATGCATTGAATTGGTTGAACGACTCGTCTACTCATGTCGGGCGGGACCGTAGTTTTACAGCAGGCGCCCTGTCGCTGGCCCAGCGCCAGTGCCTGGCGCACATCAGCAGCTCCGTGGAGGAACTTGGTGCACCTCCGCGAGATCTGTCTCCCGCAGAAGCGCTACGGCAGCTTCGCGTGGCCGGGGGCGGCTACAGCGTCGAGGAGTCGCCCCTCGGAAGCTATGACCCCGCGCTCGTCTCCTTGCCGGACGGGAAGGTGCCTCCAGTGCCGCTCTCGGACGTGTGGGGCGATGGCGGGATATCCAAGGTCGAGCTTTTTGTTCAGCAGAGCCTGCTGCCGGCTGACGTGGCGGCCGCTCGACTGGACGCATGCTCTGTCAAGACGCCCTACTCTGATCCTCGGCTGAGGTGCGCGCGAGACTGGGAGGGTTTCGTTCGTGATCTGCATGCTCGTAATTTGATCGACTTCTCGCTGGACGACGGCGTGAGGGTCGACGCGTTCTTTGTCAAGAAGAAGGGGGCCGCCTCAGGATGGTGATCGACTGCAGGCGCAGCAACGTCGTGTTCGCCGACCCCGCGCCTGTCGTCCTGCCCACGGGGGACTCGTTCGCCGCCCTCGAGCTGGACGACCCCGAGGGCATCCTGAACGTGAAGGGCGTCGACCTGAAGGACGCTTTCTACCACCTCGAGCTGCCCATCGAGCTCAGGAGGTACTTCGTGATGCGGCCCGTCTTGGCGGGCTCCGTCGGTGTCTCCAGCCTCGGGGGATGCCAGGTCGCGCCAACGGCCAAGCTCTTCCCTAGGCTGAAGGTGGTGCCGATGGGCTGGTCGTGGGCGCTGTGGTGGTGCCAGTCCATCATGGAGCGCATCGCGGAGCAGTCGGGCTGCCCTGAGGCGCAGCGGCTGCACGACGGGCGCCCCGCGCCCGGCCTCGGCGAGTTCGGGCACCTCCAGTACGTGGACAACTTCGTCAGCCTCGGCTACGATCGTGGCGCCGTCCGCGCGGCGGTGGCGCGAGTGGCGGCCGAGCTGGAGCGTCGCAGCCTGGTGGTCACGCTCGAGGATCACGCTGGGGAGCACGAGGGCACCTTCAACGTCCTGGGCTGGGACATCGCCGCCTCGGGGAGGCTGTCCGCCTCGGGGAGTCGCCTGTGGCGTGCGCGGCTCGCTGTCAGGTGCCTTCTCAGGCGAGGCCGCTGCTGCGGGGCGGATGTCGAGCGCATCTTGGGCCATCTAATCTTCATCACGCTCGTGCGGCGCGAGGGCCTCGCGCTCTTCGAGGCCTGCTTCAGGTTCGTGCAGACCTCGTACCACGTGGAGGCCCCGCTCCCGGGCGGCGTCCGGACCGAGCTCGCGGTGTGGGATGGGCTGGCGCCCCTCCTCTGGCGGGACCTGAAGGCGGGCTGGTCGATGGACGTGGGCGCGGTCGACGCGTCGCCGTGGGGCCTGGGCGCCTGTCAGTCCACCTGGGCTCCCGAGGCGGTCAAGTCCGTCGGGCGCTACTGCGAGCGGTGGCGCTTCGGGCAGGCGGAGAGGCTCCCGCCGCGGCGCCGCGCTCTGGCAGCCAGCCAGCGGGCGCTGGGCCAGGCCATCGCTGCTGAGGTGAGTGACCCCGCCGCCGGCGGCCCTGGGCTCGTTGCCTTCGCGTCGGCTGCTGACGGCCTGCCAGCCGAGCCCGTCGGCCCGCCTTTGGAGCGCGACCTAGCTGAGTTCCCCGAGGTCCCAAAACGGCTCCTCGAGCGCTCGGCTTGGACTGTCACGGGAAGGAGGAAGTGGGACCGTTCAGAACCGATGCCCATCCTTGAAGCCAGAGCGGTTCACTACCACCTTCGTCACGCTCTTCGGAATGCAAACAATCATGGCAAGAAGATCCTGGTGCTAGGAGATTCTCTGACGGCTGTCGCCGCCTCGTCCCGCATGCGAGCTCACTCACACGCAATGCTTCGGGTCATGCAACGCATCTCTGCCCTGTCCTTGGCTTCCGGGTCCTACCTGTGCGTGAGGTGGGTGACCACAGAGTTCAATGTGGCCGACGGGCCCTCGAGGGGAAGGGGATCTCCAACAAAGCCTACAGACATCATTCTTGACAAGCACGACCCCGCAAAGCACGACATCAATAGCAAGCACGAGTGCAGCATCATCAGCACAGGTAAGCACGACATTACCGACATGCCCAACATCAGCAAGATTGGCAAGCACGACATCAGCAAGCACGACATCAGCAAGCAGTGCTTCACCGACAAGCACGACATCAGCAAGATAGGCAAGCACGGCAGCAGCACGCATGAGCCCGACATCAGCACGTACGTTCCTTCGCGTCGCCGTTTTGGTTCATGCTGTCCAGCTTCGTCGCCTTCGTCCTGCGAGAGCCCGCCCCCACTGCCTGGGCAGAGAGAGTGCGACCGGCATGCTGGGGCGGGCTCGCCGCCGGAGTCGGTCGCCGCGGAGCCAGCCTTCGTCGACCTCGGCAGCCTCGCGACCGGGCCCCCCGGTCTGGCCGGGCCGCCGCGCTGCTCGCCAGGCCGCGCCTGCCGCGCGGACCGCGCCGGGCCCTCTGCAGGGCGTGAGGCGCAGGCCGGCGGCGGCGACGCCGCGCCCCCAGACCCCTCGGGAGCGGGCGGCCGAGGTGCGGCCTCCGCCGGGCGTGCAGGTGCTCAACGCCGCCGCGGTGCGCACGGCGAGGGGCAGGGAGGCCTACCAGGTGCTGTACACCGCGTTCGTGACCTGGGCCAGGAGCCAGCGGATGGCGCTGTCCTCGGCCGCGGACGTCGACAAGGCGGCGGTAGGCTACCTGCACGTGATGTTCAACGAGGGGAAGCACCTGACCTACGCCAACCGCCTCATCGCGGCCATCGCCTGGATGCGGCCCGAGTTCAGTCGGCACGGCCAGCTCCGCCTCCCGCAGGCGAAGCAGGCTGCTGCGGGCTGGAAAAACCTGGCGCCGCCGAAGAGCCGCCAGGCGCTGCCGATCGAGGTGGTCTTCCTGATCGTCAACTGGCTTCTCCTCCAGCGGTCCTACGAGGCTGCGCTGGCGGTGTGGCTGCTGTTCGAGATCTACGGTCGGCCGGGCGAGATTCACAAGCTGCGAGCCGTGGACCTCGTGCCGCCGCTGATGTCGCGCGGCGCGGCCCACCGCTTCTGGAGCCTGACGCTCCACGCGGCCGAGGTGGGCGACGTCTCCAAGACGAACGAGTTCGACAACTCAGTGCGTCTCGACCTGCCTCGTCATCAGCGGTTGGCAGCGAGCCTGGACTGGATGCTGGCTCGCCGGTGGGGCGCGGGCTGGAGGGCGAGTGCCGTCGCCCGAGAGGGCGGGGCCGCAGGCTTGCCCGGCTCGCTCTTCCGCATCTCGCCCGCGGACGTGTCCCAGGAGTTCAGGCGGGCGGTGACCGCCCTCGGCCTCCGCCGCCTCGGCGCCGTGCACCTGTACCAGCTACGGCACGCCGGGCCGTCTCACGACTCCGCGGCCTCCTGCCGAACGCTGGAAGAGATACGCCGCCGTGGCCGGTGGCGCACCTGGAGCAGCGTGCGCCGCTACGAGAAGGGCAGCCGTCTCACAGAAGTGCTGCATCGTCTACCCCTCTGGCTGCAGCGACACGGAGGTGCCTGCGTCGAACACCTGAGCCGACCCGTGTTCGAGGTGCCCTCACCTTTGCCGCAGCCCGTCTGAGCGCGCCCGTCATACTTGAGCTGTTTTCTGGGCATGGCGGCTTCGCCCGTGCCGCAGGAGCCATGGGCTTCTGGGTCCTCGTCTGGGACCTGTCTCTTGGAGAACAGTACGACCTGACGCGCTCTGAGAATCGTGGCAAAATAAACGCGTGGCTCCGAGCAGGTTTGCTGCTTGGCTGGCACGCTGGCGTTCCATGTAACACGCTCACGCGTGCTAGGGGGTACGGTATCGGTCCACCAGCTGTCCGGTTAGACGAGTGTCTGTTTGGGCTTCCCGACCTGTCGTTTAAGTTGCAAGCTCAGGTTGATGCCTCCAATTGTCTGAACAAATTCGTCGCTTCGCTCGCTCGTGCCTCTCTGGCCCTCAGTGTGCCGTGGTCTGTCGAGAATCCCAAGACCTCTCGGCTCTGGCTCTTGCCTGACTACAAGCGCCTCACCCGCCGTCGAGGTGTTGAGCATGTTGTTACTTCTATGTGCATGTGGGGCACCCGGTGGCGGAAAGACACTGGGCTCCTCTTGGGCTTGCTGGACCCCACGCCGTGGCGTGACACAAGATGCCAGAGCTCTAAGCGAGGTATATGTGCTCGCACTGGCCAACGTCATGAAATCCTCAGTGGCAAGAGACCCGACGGGACTTTCGCCACTAGTGCTGCCGCCATATACCCAGTGCGCTTCTGTAAAGCTCTGGCGCGGTCATTTTATAATGCTCACGTTGCAAAGATTGCTGCCTCTTTCGAGAGGCATCTTTGAGAATTCGGCGATACCAGCTTGCAAGCATGCCTGCAGATTTGGCATGTAAAGTGTGTGCTCTGTCGACCTCGCCGTGGCGTCTCGCGCCACTCCATGCAGCTCGCCCTCACACCTGACCACTGGCAAAAACGAGCTCTGATGATATTTGTGCTTGCACGGTTTTCATCTGCGCAATCCGCCGCCATTCGGGGGCTCAAGGCGCACCATCCAGCCATCCCCACCTCCTACCTCTTTTCTTTTAACCTTGCTCCTTGGCATGTAAAGTGTGTGCTCTGTCGACCTCGCCGTGGCGTCAAACGAGCTCTGATGATCATCATCATCATCATCATCATCATCATCATCATCATCATCATCATCATCATCATCATCATCATCATCATCATCATCATCATTATCATCGTCATCATCATCATCATCATCATCATCATCATTAGCATCATGATAGTCGGCATGATCATACTGAGCATCACCATCATCGGCCACATCATCAGCAGCTTCAGAATGACCATCATCATCATCATCATCAGCAGCATCTTCAACATCATCATCCGCATCACCATCATCATCATCGTGGCCGGCACCATACTCGTCGACATCCTCAGCATCCTCAGCATCACCTGCATCGTCATCAACAGCATCATTATCAGTATCATCAGCAGCAGCAGCATCAGCGTCACCATCATCATCATCAGCAACATAGCCAGAATCACCATCATGATCATAATCATCGGCAGCACCATCATCGTTCTCGTCATCATCCTCATCATCACCCCCATCTCATCACCATCATCCTCCTCATCATCAGCGTCATTAGCATCTTCAGCATATTAGTCATCGTCATCATTAACAGCATCATCATCACAATCAGTAACAATTCCATCATCATCATCGTCATCATCAGTGGCATCATCATCACCAGCATCAGCATCATCATCACCATCAGCATCACAATCATCATTGCCATCCTCACAGTCATAGTCATAAGTTTCTTCATCATCAGCAGCAGCATCATCATCATGCTCCTCCTCATCATCATCATCATCATCATCGTCGTCAATCTCGTCACCGCCATCGTCATAGCCATCGTCATCGTCGTCATCATAACCATCAGCGTCGTCGTGGTCGGCATCAGCACCATCATCAGCAGCAGGAGCATCACCGTTTGTCTCAGCTTTCACATCTTCATCTGCCATGTTACCATGATTAGTTCATCATCCTGACAATTATCCTTCCCCCTCCGGCATCCTCGTCAATGTCCTCCTCTCTTCTGTCCTCATCCTGGCCCACCCCTCTTCGTCGCACCACCAGACGTGTCGGCGATAGAGCTGGTCCAGCACTTCGCCTGAGACACCCTCACCGCGCATGGGCGTGAAGCTTGCAGCAGTACTTTACACAGATGAAGGGCATCTCGTTTTCAATAATTGGTTATCGCCTTCGCACCGCGCACGTATCTTAGACTGCCCACCAGTTACACCGAGAAATGGCGGCAAATCTTCAAAATGCGGTTTTCGCTTGAGCGTCGCACCAACTTGCAGAAAAACTTCCAACAATTACATGAATGGAAGGCAATCCGTTTTCGAAGCGTGGCTCTCGCCTTAGCGCCGCGCACATCTGTCTCAAAGCTTCTAACGCTTACACTAGTGGAAGCCGGGTCTTTCTAAGATGGGGCTCTCGCCTGAGACGCATTGTCTCTATCACCTTCTCCATGCGCAGGTGGTTTAGCAGGTCAGCTCTTCTGACAAATTTCTTCTGCATCGGGGAGCTCCCCCTGCCCCACGTCGCAACACTTCCCCCTTAGCCTAGCCACGCGAAAAAGGCGTTTCAATTCATTCCGGAATGAAGTGGTCGCCGATCTGAAACATGTTAGAGGCCTCTTGGGGGGAAGTTCTCGAAGGCTGTTGGAACTTCTTGTGGGCGTCTTGAGGCTTCCTGGAGGCCTACTTGGGGCGTTGAGCTCTCTGCGATTTGGCGGGCCTATTGGGGCATTTTTGTGAAAGCTGCGAGCCGTGCATCTGAAGGGGACAGGGAAATATACACATAGAAAATAAGCGCAGCGCGGCACACATGTTGCAGCCGCCGCCCCGCTCACCCTACAGGAAAGATGGTGCAGGCTGGCTCGTGGAGGCACCAGGGGGCGCAAGAGAAATTCACTGCCGCTCAATTCAGAGGGCGGAGGAAACGATCGCGCTCCGCCCTCCTTGATCCTGTCCCTTCTCGGGTCGGGACCCAGAACTGCGAACACTGGAATTCTTGACAGGAGCTGCCCTTCCTTCGGCGCTATGCCGCAATCGGGAGGACATGGAGGAGTGGAGGAGAGCGCCTGTTCCGTCTCCGCAGGCACTGTTTGCGGCGCGAACGGCAATAGGCCCCCCTGCTATATGCGGGTATACCCCACTGTCACCTCACACTTCTGCAAGGCTACGCGCCTGGCAGCATGGAGACACAACGTGCAGCAGGCAACGTCTGCAGTGCGAGCGGGACTGATGCCCCCTGCTATTTGCGGGTGCATGCCGCTCTCCCTCCCAGCTCGCGCAGCAAAGCTACGCGCCAATTCGATACAGCAAACGGCGATGATGATGCGAGATTGCTCGCGCCTTTGGCGAGCCCCACCGAAAGCTCCCAACACTCGCGAGTGTCATGCTCTTCTGTGCCCCGCCGGCTGCCAGGACACTGCGGACTCCCTCTGGGGCATGGTTTCCCCTCAGGCCGTTGCCTGTCCCCTGTCGCCAGCTGCGTACTTCCGCACAGCGGTGCAAGCCTGGAGAATACTCGAATCCGTGCCGACAAGGACCAAGAACACGAAGACGCCGCACAGCGTTCGGGGGTTGATGTAGTGGTTCTTCTCCACCTCGCCATTGTAACACTTCTCGTTGCTGGTGCCCGACCAAGCATCAAATCCCAATAGACTAAACATAAGTCCGATGGCACAACAACATCCGACTACGGCCACCACCGCCTCGCACAAGTAGAACATGCGCTCCTCTATCATGGCAACGCCAGAGATTAGTGTAACCATGGAAACAACAGCAACCAAGCTATACGAGCCGTAAACCTTCATGAGCAGCTCTAGGTCCTTCTCGCATGAAGGTAACACGTTGGCCGCCGCTAGCCAAAAGACCAGAGGGATCCAGAATAAGCACGTACCAATCATGCAGACTGAGAGCGGGCACGCAAGCGGAACTGTTTGTCGAGCCGTTGTTACCTTCGGAACCTGAGTCTGTGGCTGGTCATCTTCAACGTCCGGAGAAGATTTGCCGATGGTCGCCATCTCGCTTGGCCGGATGACGGCTTCAACCAAAATAGCTTGAGCCAAAATGGCTCCGGAAGGGCCTGTTGGGTCCATCTTGGGCGGCTGTTGTGACTTTCTTGGGCCGTCGTGGGGCCCTCTTGGGGCCCTCTTGAGATTCTTTGAGGCCGTCTTGGGGCTCTCTTGGGGGGCTAGCGGGCCGTCTGGAAGCCAGGAATACCTAAAAGGCGACCATGGCAACATCAAAGAATCTTAGCCAGCGTGGACATCAAACAGTGAGCTATGGCACTGTTGATGTGAAAGATATGCCGAGTAAGCAGTGTGATGTTGCCTGTGCCTTGAAATATATGCGGAGTAGGCTGTGTACTGTTAGCTATACTCTTCTTCTCTTCAGCTACGGACAATGCGTCGAACGCACATCCTACCTGCCCACGACCCGCTCTGTGCTCAGTCCTCCAAGATAGTCGTGAATAGAACATCGAGAGACCACTCCACCGCCTGGTACGATTGGTGGGTCCTGCGAGGTTTCGCCATGTTGCAGCCCGTGGCCGCTTCGTGCGTTGGTTAGGTCCAGCGAGGTTTCACCACGTGGCCGCCCGTGGCAGCCTTGTGGCCGCCTTTTGGGCTGGGTGGATTCAGCGAGGTTCCGTCACGTTGCCGCCCGTGGCCGCCTCGTGGCCGCCTCGTGGCCGTCTCGTGCGCTGGGTGGGTCTGGCGAGGTTTCGCCTCGTTGCCACCCGTGGCCGCGTCGTGGGCGCAGTGTGTGTGCACGACATAGCTCACACCACAGAGATCCTCTTGTCGAAAGAAAACAACAGATTCTACCAACCACTCCCCACTGGACTTATCGATACCCCTCGGGAGACGGCAAATTATTCTGCCCCATCGCTCATTTTCCATGCGAGTTCACATCATCCCAGCAATGCCAGTATCGCCCCCTTCCCTCACCCCAGCCAAACAAATGCTCTTTGATATCAAAAAAGTATTGCTTTAAGAATCCCTTG